AAGTTGCGGGGTGGGGTGGTGGGGGGCGGGGGACTGGGGAGCCCGGGTCCTGAGTCCCGGGGGACTACAGCAGGGCATCTCTTTTGGCTTCTCGAGCAGAGACAGCGATGTCCCTCCCTGCAGAGGAAGCAGGGGTTTCCGGTGACTCCCACAGAGGTGAGGTCAAAGGGAGACGTCAGGCGAATAGTCTGAGAAAAGTCCAGAGTGAGGTCAGTTGCCCGGGACGGAAACGGGAAAGGTGACTCCGATGGTCTCACCTTGCTGGGAACGACAGCCGGGAAACCCCGACCCACGAGTCTGGCCCAACTCTGAACGACGAAGGCTCTCTTGGGAGACTGTATCGGTGTCCGGAGCCCGTCGGGACGTGAGCGCTAGGACAGACAGCGGACAAGGTTGGAGCGTTTAGCCGGGGTGATCTGCCTCAGTCCGTGGCTTCCCGGTAGCAAGCCCCCAGCCACGAGGAACGCCACGGGCCACAAGGAGGGGACAGAAGACGCCCCGGGACTCAGCCATCCCGCGTGGCTGAAAGGCGCTGCAGGGTCTTGGGCGGGGTCCCTGCGGGTCCCCCTTCCAGTTCCGGGGCAGTTAGAGGAAGAGGAGTAGAAAAGACAGACAGATGAGGGACCCCGCTTAGTAGCAGGGCCGGGCTCCACTGGACTCCCAAGTGGGCTCAGCCGCTGCCCCAGAGGCCACCTGACCTGCCGGCTGGGGACGCGTCCAGCTGCCCTCTCCAGAAGGCAGCCGTGGCCCGCTCCAGGTCAAGGTCATGTCCTTGGACCCCTTCTTGGTTGCCAGGAAAGATGACGACGCGGACGGGTGAACTCCCCGCATGGGGACTTGAGTCCTGCGCCCAGTCGGGGAGGGCACCGGGCTCCGGGCAGGACAGGGTCTGAGAGTGAACGGCGTTAGGGACCAAGGCCAGCGTGGGAGACCAGGAACAACGCTCCACACAGAGCGTGGTCTCCCTCGGTCAGACAGAGGCCCCGGGGGTGTGGGGACCTGGGCTTGTGCCTGTCTCTTGGTTTCTGAAAAGCCGCCGGTGGCAGGGAGTGAAGAACGGGGCGGGCGGGCGGTCGCCGGCCACCTCTGCGGGAGTCTCCCCCTGGCCTGTGGGCCCCTCGGGTCCCGGCGGCTGACGGGCCCGGGTCCGTGTCCCGCAGCGCGGAGCGGGCTCCGACGTCCAGCTGGTTTCACCTCTGGTCCGTCCGGGCGGCTGTCACGCCTCGTCCCTACGTCACGCGGACTTAGCGGCCGCACTGCACAGCCCCGGACACAGAGGGACAGAAACCTGGCCCCTGGGAGGCGGCTCCCCACCCACGCGGACGTTCTGAGCTGTGGGGATGCCCGGGGACGGGCTGGGCCCCTGCTACACGTGGTGCCTGCCCGGGGCACACAGGGAAACTCCCAGGAACAGGCTGGACACTGGGGGGTTCACAGCCTCGCCTCCCTCAGCTGCTAAGAGACAGGAAGCCCCAGGGGCTTTCGGGCGAGTCTCCCGGGGGCAGGGAGGCTGGGGCTGGAGACTCCCAGCGGCCAGCGTCGGGGAAAGCAGTGACACTGCAGGGCTGGCTCCCGAGTCCACTTCGCATTTGGCTATTTTGTTCATCAAGACTTTTTTGGCACCCGCCCATTTTGACTTTGGAAACTATCGCGTTGACCAGGCTTGTGGGGGAGGGGTGAGCGCCCCACTCACCCTGACCCACGCCGTGCTCGGGGCTCCCCTCCCCCGCCCACCGTGCTGCCAGAGCCCAGCAACCAGGCCACACGTTTTGGTCCTCCGCTCTATGAGTTTTTATTCCCGGGATGGTGGCTGGTGACGGGACGGGACACAGAGGACTCACAGGTTATCTGGTGTGTGTGGGGGGGTGCACAGTGAGGGCCAGAGTGATGGGCGGACAGCTGGGAACAGTCGGGAGGGGGCCCAGGTGGTCTCCAAGTACTGACGGTCACTGGGGAGCCCCAGCAGCATCCCCCTCCATCCCCCCGTGGGGCCTGGCAGGGCTGGGGGAGGGCATGTCCCGCGGGTCAGCGGCCCTGAGCCTGCAGCCTTTGCATCTGTAGGATCTGGCTCAGAATCTGTTGCACGTCTTCGTCCATCTGGCCCTGGAGGTGGGGGGGGGAGCATAGGGAGAGCCTGGGTGACCCCGCCACCGTACAGGTGGGGAAACTGAGGCCCAGAGAGCAGCCGGTGGCATAGCCAAAGCCAGGGGTGACTCACCTGAATGGCGTACAGGAGGTGGCTTCTATACAAGGCCACCACTGCACTGTGGTCCCTGGCAGCCTCCTGCAGATATGGGAGAGGGGGGCTCAGAAAAGCAGGACCCCCTGAGACATGTCAAACACCCCCTTGGCACCCCGAGCCCCACTTTTGAGGGCATGCACCAGTGTGACAGTGCCAGTTGCCAAAATATTGAAATATTTTCCTCCCATGCCTGCCACGTGTACCCCAGGCTCCCTCGGCCCCCCCCAAAGCCCTCTCCTGCGGTCCCCCGTGAGTGCGGCTCTCACCTCCAGCTGCTCCTGGAGAGCCGCCACCTGGCCACGGAGGGCCGCCACCTCGGGGCTGCCCGGGGCTGCCAGCCGGCCCTTCAGCGCCTCTTTAAGACTGACGACCTCCTTGGAGAGCTCTGTGATCTGCAGCGAGGTGGGGGCGTCAGCAGCCGCCCTGGGCCCACGGCGGGGGGCAGCAGTAAGAGAAGCAGAACAGGCTTGCGACATCGGCCACATCCTCGCGGTTAGCAAACGCCGGCCCGCGGGCCGAGGATGCTTTGCACACTTTTATGCGGTGGGGGCAGGAGGCAAAAGGTCAAAGGAGGGACGCTAATCCATGACACGTGAAGGGCAGATGGCATTCACGTTTCACGCACGGCCCGTCTGTGTTCACGCCACCTCCGGCTCGGGCTGCGATGGCAGAGCTGAGCCACAAACACTGCCCTCGGGTCCTTTGCGGTAAGTTTGCCAGTCGTGGCACAGGGCCCTTTGGAGTCACCGGAAAGGGGACGTTGAGGGAACAGAAGGGCAGAAAGCCCGGTGGGCGGCCCTAGGTTTGGGGCCCTGTCTATCCCTTTCCCAAAGGGAAGATGACCTAACCCCTCGGATCCTGTTTCCACATCTGTAAAGTAAGGAGAATCGTGGTTCTCACCATTTATTGCGACTCTGAACAGCGATCAAGTTTAAAACGTGCCTGGCAAACAGCAGGCACTCAATAAATGCTGGGCTTATTATTATTCCTACAGATCAGAGGTTCTCAACCAGAGGCCATTCTTCCCCCAGAGAACACTGGGCAGTATCTGCGTTGGGGGGCCTCCTGGCATCGAGTAGGTGGGGCCGGGGATGCCGCTCAACACCCTACGGTGCCCAAGACGGCCCCCTAGGAGTGACCTGGCCCTGATGTCACTAGTGCCGAGACGGGGGGGACGGGTGGGGCTGCTAAAAATAAACCACAGTCCCCACTACAATTTTATCTTCACTTTACAGAGGCGGAAACTGGGGCTCAGAGAGGTCAGGCGACTTGCCCGCGGTCACACAGTAAGTCGGGACTGGGTGACTCTGAGCTAACGCACCTGGAGCTTGGCAGGCCGCACCCACTGTCTACTGACGAGCTGTGTGACTTTGAGCCACTCGCTTAGCCTCTCTGAGCCTCAGTTTGCTCATCCGGAAGATGGAGAGAAAAATGCTTTCTGGCTCTTAGGGTTGTAAGGAGACAGAGCACGATGGTGTGTGAAAAACGCCTGACTCTATAACCAGAGGCCTCTGTCATCATTACCCTCCTAATCCAAGAAAACAACTGGGAGCTTGGGTTTGAACCCTGGCAGTACCACTGCATGGCATGGCTCTGTGACCTTGGGCAAGCGGCTTTACCTCTCTGAGCCTCAGTTTCCTCAAATGAGGATAATAAAAGCACGGATCTCACTGGAACCTGACATGAGGAGTAGCTGTTTAAGTCCGTGTTAAATGCACAGCGCAGGGCCTGGCGTGTGGTAAGTGACTGACAAACGTTACTGTGGTTATAATCAGCAGGTGTGTCTGAGTTGTCCCCTTCCTCCTCTGTGCCTCAGACTCCCACCTGCAAAATGGGCTCATTTCCCAGAACCCTTTCAGCTGGGACACCCCCAGGTTCCCCCCGACTGAGCACGGGAAAAGGGAACCCACCTTCTCGTCCTTCTCCTTGGCCCTGTCCAGGGCCTCCTGGGCGCGGCTCTGGGCCTGGCGAGCCTGCTCAGCCTCGGCACGGAGCCCCCGCAGCCGCTGCTCTGCTGTGGCCAGCTGGGCCTCGGCCGCGTGTCGTTCACTCTTCATAAACAGCGCCTCCCGCTGCACCTGTGCCCCAAGCCCATACGTGACCCTGAGGATACTTGGGCCCCAAAGGTGCCTGGGACCCCCAGTGCCTCTGACCTTCTATTTTGGCCTGAAGACATTCAAGCTCATTTCGTCCTCGAGGAGTTTGACTCGGGGAAGTGCTGGATTCCTCTGCGCACTAGAACATTATGATCTGCTAGCTGTGTGGCCTCAGACAAGTGACTGAACCTCTCTGTGCCTCAGTTTCCTCATATGTAAAATGAACATAATAACAGCCCCCACTTCATCGGGTGGTTGTGAGGATAAAATGAGCAAATACACAAAATGTGCTTAGAATAGTGCCTGGCACACAGTGTTTGCTATATTCAAGTTAGTGATGCGATCGTTATTGTTGCTATTGCTGTTATTATTATTATCATCACCACTAACGTTCTTTTCTCTGCCGGTGGCTGAAAGTTTGTAGATTTCTTACAAAAAGAAAGAAAAACAAAAGAATCTGGATGAAAAGCAAACAGAAGTCCAAAAACTGATGACTGCATGTTCACAAAAATGTCAAGACTGGCACACTGTTAGGTTTGCAAAAGTTGATCCTGGCGGGGAACACTGGACTTCAGAAAAATAGCCACTGCAGGGAAAAACGGATAACAATTGGATGTTCCAGTTGGTAATGGTTGGCTACACATTAACCATTAAAAAAAAAAAAAATTGATTGATAAATCCAATCAGACTTGTAAAATTTCCCCGAAAAAGCAGTGATCATGAGGAAGACAGAATTTAGAAGACGGCCATACTTAGGTGGGTCTGTGAACTCCAAGAAGAACATCGACCGTTTAACTGGTTTGAAAGAGGGTGTCCTTAGAAAAATAATTCTGGCTCCCGTTATCAGTCACTTCTACCATCACTTTTCTAAGTCACTAATGTAAACGAAGACCTCTCCCTATCCATGTGAGGACGGGCACTATCATAATCTCCATTATGTGGCCGAGCAAACAGAAACTGAGAGAGAACATTCCTGACAAGTAATGAAGGTAGCGTCCTCTTCACACATCTGTTGAAACAGTTACCAGTTGTTTGTTTTTTTTTAACTTAAGAAAAATGATGGAGTCAAAAGGTCTACCACCAGGGACAAAATAAATATTCCTTAATTAAAAAAAAACAACTCAGCATCAAAATCTACTGGGTTCCAAACGAGGCCAGAAATCTTGGCGCATAACCTCCTCCTCCAGAAGCATCGTGATCGTGAGGTAAAATGGCCACCTCAAAAGAGCCCACTGGAAAAAAACCGTGGGGTCATTCTGACCAGCAGAGAAAACGGACATTAGGTAAAAACATCGAGGGCAAAACCCCAAATTCACTGCTTGCAAAAACAACTGAGTGAACATGGATCCCCGCCTCACACCATATACACGGTTAGAGCCGAAACGTAAAAATGACCGTGAAATTAAAACAACAAACGCGCTAGAAGAAAATGTACGAGAATTTCTCCATGACTCTGGGACACACGCAGACTTTATAAACACATCGCAAAAAGTACTAACTGTCAGAAAAAATGATCGGGTCCAAACGGCCAGAAGGTTTGAAAGAGGAAAACCCAAGCGCAAACACCCAGGAGATCGGAATGGCCACAGGGTCAAAGGCTCCCTGGACACACTGGCAGGGTCAAGTGTCTGTCGGAGTGAAACCTGCGGGATTGCAAGATCCCACGGCTGCGGGGTCAGAACAGATGACCGCTTGGCTGCGGGGCGTGCCCAGTGGGCGCCGGCCATGCTCACCTGGAAGACCTCGGCGCTGGTCTTCTCGTGCCGGCGTCCCAGCTCCTCCAGCTGGCCCTGCAGCCGGGCCACGTCGGCCTGCAGTGCGCCCACGACGCGCTCATGCTCCAAGCGGGCCACGCTGCCCACACGCTCTCGCTCCAGCTCTGCCCGCAGCCGGGCGGCCTCCTTGCCCGTGGCCACCACCTCCTGCTCCAGGCTGGCCGCCCGGCCCCGCAACTCAAGGGCCTCCTCCTGCAGCCGGTGATGCTCGGAGGCCGGCACTGCCGACTGGCGGAGTGCCTCGGAGGCCTCGCGCAGCTCCGCCAGGCCCTTCCGGGCCTCCTCGCAGGCTGCGGCCAGCTCGGCGGCCTGGGCCTCAGCTGCATCCCGCGCTTGGG